AGGAACGTCATAATTCAGAAACTTACCATTCTTGCTTCTGTCGATTCCCCAAACACGGACGGCATCAATCCAGGTACGTGCATTTATGTTGCATTTCGAAGGGTGTAATGGTTTAAGATTTTGAATGACATCTTAAAACCTTTTAAATTTGAATTTTTTTTTTTTGAGATTTTTTTAAGATTTGTAGATTTAAGTGGAAATTTTTATAAACTTATGACTTGAGTGGAGTTTCATAGATGTATTTTATTTTGGAAAACAAAAATCATTAAAAAGCTATGACAAATCAAAGTGCCATCTACATGGAATAACTCATCACTTTTTTAACACTTTTCGAAATTTCAAATGAATACCTTAATAAATTTTTATGACTTTTTAAAATCTCAAACCAATACAACATGATTCTTAAATCCGAAAAAACATTTAAGAATACAGAATGAATACACCCCCTTCGTATCTCATAAGAATAAGCATTTCAAGATTCAGAGCCTGATTGGATATAAGTTATTTTGAATTTGACTGAATAATAAGGTGAATTGATTTTGAGAAAATTTGATTGAGTTTTGTTGTGTATGAGATTTGAGTTTGTATTTACTATTTAAATAATATTTAAAGTATAATGATTAAAGTTTATGTGACGTAAAAGTAGGAGAGAAACAATTGAAAAGATGGGTGATTATAATTATGTGAGTGGGTGAATAGACACTTAAATTTGATGTGATGTGTGACAATGATTGAGTTATATTGATAAAAAAAATTGAGTTAAGTTAAATTTGAGTTAAATTTTGAGTTAACAGAATTATCTGATGAATCATAATCCGATAGATTCGTATCCAATCAGACTCTTAACGATTATTACTACTGTTCGATTTCCGCCGCGCATGCAGACTCGTGTAAAAACACGCGCATATGGGACTCGTACATCGTCTCAGGAGACGACTGCATCGCAGTCAAGAGCGGGTGGGACGAATACGGAATCAAATTCGGGAGGCCAACCGAGGGCCTCAGCATCCAGAGGGTCACCTGCAATTCTCCCTACTCGGCCGCCATTGCCCTCGGCAGCGAGATGTCGGGCGGAATCAAAGACGTCCGAGCCAACTACATCTACGCCTTCAACACCGAGTCGGCCGTGCGTATAAAAACATCCCCCGGGCGCGGAGGCTACGTGGAGCAGATATTTGTTCGGGACATGTATTTGAAAACGATGAAGTACGTTTTGTGGATGACTGACGCGTACGGTCAGCACGCGGACGATAAATACGACCCGAACGCGTTTCCTATAGTGCATAATATCAATTTTAGGGATATTGTAGCGGAGAATGTGACCATGGTCGGGAGACTTTCCGGGATTGCGAACCACTCGTTTACCGATATTTGCGTTTCTAACTTGGATGCTTCGATGGCCGAGACGAAGAAGAAGCCTTGGGCTTGTGAATATATTAACGGTACTTCGAGCAATGTGAGGCCCAAGGCATGTCCTGAGTTGGCTGAGAGTACTCATAAGACTAATTGCCCTTTCCCCACAGAGAGTCTGCCGATTGAGGATGTCAAGTTGGAGAATTGTGTGACTTATGTTTGAGCTTCGTTTTTTGCTCGTGTTTTAAGATTTTAAGTATGGGAAATGGTTTGTACTATGGGTTTTAATGAACTTATACGATGAAGTATATGTTATACTTATAGGTACTTGAAATAAACACTATTTGGGCTTCAATTGAACTTTTATATGTACTTTTCTTTATAGTATTTGAAATAAAGACCATTGTATGCAACTTTTTTTTTCTTTTAGTATGTATTTTCTGTTTGTTTTTAATTTTTTTATTTTATTGTTTAGTATTCAAGTTTCGAGTGCCTCAGTTTTCTTCATTGGAATGTTTTAATCTCTCTTATGAGAGTTTGATAGTTTTTCGATCTTTATTTGTTTTGTATTGTTTGCTTAAGCTACCTTTGAGTAGAACTGTAAACGAATTGAGCTCCAGCTCATGGAGCTCGAAAGCTCGATCTTTAACGAGCTGAGCTGAACTGAGCTCGGCTCATTAACTAAACAAGCTGTAATCGAGCTTGAGCTTCGCCTGCTTATCGATATTAACGAGCTGAACTTGAGTCTTAATGAGTCAAACTATATAAAATTATATAAAAAATATCAGTTTCAAATTGTAATGAGCCGAACTGAGTTGACTCATTACCTAAACGGTATATGAGCTGAGATCAAGTCGTTTGAAAAATGAGTCTGAGCTATAACGAGCTTGAAGCTTGAGGGACAGTAGCATGAGTTCCTACATGTTGAGCAAGAAGACTATCGAAATCAATCCAGACAACGGGATCGTGGAGGAGCTCAGGAAGAGGGCTGAGGCTGATAAGAATGACGAATCAGTTAAGGATCTCGTGCTTTTGCTGTTAGAGACTGCCCTTTGGGAATCTGGTTTCAGTTTGGACCCGAACACTTTTGCCGCAAGAATTCATAGAATGCTGAAGCTTGGGTTGAGCATTGATGAAGAAGGAGGTGAGGATGGGGAACTGGAGGAGGAAGGAAATGAAGAGAGCAATATGGAGGAGGTCGATTAAAAAATTTGAAACGTATAAATTGATGATACAAGTTAAAAACTGATATACGAGTTTTGTGGGTTTCTTCCCCAAGTTGTATTATTCATTTATTTGTCTCTATTTTCTCTCTGAACTTCGAAAGGTATAAATTGATGATACAAGTTAAAAACTGATCATCCATGCTTGAATGAAAGAGTTAAGAATACAATTAGACAATCTTGAATGAACTGAAGTCATACCTCCTAATTCATTTGCATAGTACATGCTGGATTTTTAAAAGTGTTACCAAGATGAAAATGGATATTGAAAGACCTGACCATTGGTGAAGAAGGGACTTACAGAAAGAAGGTGTTATCAAGACACAAATGGAAAGTGTTACCAAAATCGTGGATTTCAATTTCGGTTGAATACTTGTATTGAGGACTGGAAAACCGAAGAAAAAAGAAAGAAAAAAAAAAAGGGCTGCATTTCACTATACTGATTCATGGAAAAGAAGTGTTCAGATGTGTACACACGACACAAAACATTATCTTTAGGTGCCATTTTTCACAAGTGCATAAAACTCAATCATAATTCATAGCTATAGATACCGCTTATTAGAAAATGGTCTAACAAGTTAAACCAACATCACTCGCATAACCAAGATAAGAATGCATTTCGCAGGCAAGTGCGCACACACAGCTTAAGCTTTAAAAGGAATGAGAAATCTCCGGTCCCAAAATAAACAAAATTGCAGATTCAGAGTACAACTTGATATTTGAATGTGAGATACTAAGTTTAAGTTCAACAAAAGTTCACCATTCGCAACTTAAGGAGAAAATACATAGAAATGGAGAACTAACAAAATTAACTTGGAGGTGCTCCACCAAAGCTGCCAGAACCACGGCCAAAACTACCTCGTCCAGATCCCTGCACATTCATCAAAGTCATTTAAGATAATAATTATTAAATATATCATCTGTGTGTATTTAACTGCACTAATTACTTTGTTCTCAACTCTACGAGGGGAAGTAAATTCTTAAAGAGTTATCAAATCCCAGTGCTCTTCATCGAGTAAACTCAACACATAAAAGGCATCACAAAAAAAAAAAAGGTGAACCTCCATTCTACAGCAGTAAATGATAATAAAGTAATAAACCATGTCGAATTTTACTAAATCAAAGTTTGAAAAATATAAGCAATATTAGCATGTCAAATGTCAAACATATACCGTAGACACAATTGATCATGCTCATTTCTCAAACAGACAAAAACATTTACTGACATATTATACATGAATTCCAGCGTAGTCTAACAAAACAATATATATTATGAAGTTATAGCTTGAAACAAAGCACAAGTAGAATTAAAATTACCCTGAAAGCGGGTTGGAAATCAGCAGGTGCACCAGCTCCACCTTTTTCACCACCAAATTCACCTGGAGGTCCTCTCGGCCCTCCACGGTAACCTTCTCGATCGCCAAATCGTGGCCTGTCACCATCAAACCTTGGAGGTCCACTGTTGCAACAAACCAAATATACATATATAAATGAACAAAATCAAATGAGTGCACAAATTACCCCTATAGAAAAGCCCAAACACCTATTACAACACAAAAACCCACCAGAATCAAATGAGAAATGACAGTGAATTAATACTTTTCACTCATCAAGACTGAACAAAACACAATACATAACCATTGGAGCTTCACAATTACCATTAACAACAGAAAATGGCTATATATTCAAGCATGGTAGCAAGCAACCACATTTCAATAGATATATCCCAACAAATAAATGAATCTTAACTGCAATAGCCCATTAAAGAAAAAAAAAAAGATTAATCTTTACCGAGGGCGGTCTCCGGGTGGGCCTCCCATTGGCCGGCCGAGGGGTTTGGCGGACTTCTTCAGAGTGGCCGGGACAATTTCAGAAGGCAAGTTGAGATACGTGCGGAGGAACTCGATGCCATCATTAGTCAGATACCAGTAATAGTGCATCCACGCGANAGAAACTGGTAATTTTTTTCTCACCTTGAAAGAGGTATTTGGAGATCTCTCTCCTGTTCTTCTCTGGAATGATCTGAAACAAAATTACACCAAAAGTTAGCAGATTGAAACAGGTTTTTCGTTGTTTCGATTAAAAAAAATCTGGATTAAAACCGCATTCTCAATTGAATGAATCTGTTAGGATGTCAAACTGTGCGAGTGTGCAATCTAGAGAGAGAGATAGAGTTGTACCATGGCTGCTGAGCTCTTGGGTCCTTGAGATTGGGAAAGAAGATAGGATCAGCTAAATGAACAAGCAGCAGCAGCTCTGTAAAGTGAAGGGCAGGAACCCTAATTCATGGTATTGACACATTTTAACTATGGATCATGGGCCGGGTAAATTGCTCCGGCCTACCCCAGATAATAATTTATAACCCACTAATTCAGGCCCACTAGCTAAAATATAAGAAGTTGGCCCTGTGGTCATTCAAAGTGGATTTTTCAGTGCTCAAACCTTGGATACAAAATTTCTCAAAAAAATCCAAACATTTTTAACTCAATCACTTTTTTAACTCAACTTTAACTCAATCTCACTATCATCAATATAATTAAATAATATCAATCAATCATTCTTACACACCATCTTACCTTAATTCACTATTCATCCACTCACATAATTTTAATTAACCATCACTTCAAATCTTCTCTCTCCTATTTTACATCAAATCAACTTTAATCATTTTATTTTAAATATTATTCTAATATACCCACTAACAACTAACCATACCAACTTTTTCAAAATTAACCAAACCAAACAAAAAAATCCAAACAAAACCAAAAAAATTTTATATCCAATCATCCTCTTAAAATTCGTAATAATAATTAATTATAATATATTTTCCTTTGTACATAAGTAATAAACTTATAAACAAATATTAGAACTTGAGTAGAGTGGAATTGGGTTCTAGCCGAATAGCTCAACTCGTTAACTCATTGAGTCTTAAAACACGCTGGAGCACTCATTTTTTAAAATTGACTAGACAAACTCAAGCCTTAACGAGCTGATCTACAATAATAGTTCTAAATTTTACTTAAAAATCACTATTTTTTGAGCCTTGACGAGTTAGCTCGTTAACTAAACAAATTATTATGTGAGCTCTAGCACGACTCATTTAATGACAAGTCAAACTTGAGACTTAACTAATTGAGTCAAGTCGCCCACGAGCGGTTTGATACGTTCAACGGTTATAGCAAAATTGATCGGAAGACCAAATTAACTCTAGTAGCAAATATACAAGAATGATTATACCTCGAGCAATGCAATGTGAAAATTATTTTTTTCTGTTTTTATCACGATTATTAACTGAAAACGAGACTCCATAGTTCAGCTTCCCCAGCAAGCTTGTACATGTGATCTCTATGGTTCCTATTGAGTATACATATATTCAAAAGCTAATTA